CTCTATGTTGATGTAGAGTAGAAAAGGCTTCGATTCTGGATAATGACAACACAGATCAGAGTACACGCCCCCTAATTTGAACTTGGTTATGTAACCCCAAAAGTGGCTTGTGAATTAAGGTTAATACAGGGTTTTCACACTGGGGGTCGTGACCCTCAGGGTTATGTGGGGGGTCACGAGCTGTTAGCACCCTTGCCGAATCCCGCTTTGCCTTCACCATTTATAATAGTGTTAAATATAAAAAATTGTGTTTTTAATGTATAAGGGGGGGTTGCACTTAGAGGTTTGCTGTGTGAAAGGGGTTACTGGTATAAAAGTTTGAGAACCACTGGGGTAGTAGGTAGAAGGTTCTGAGACATCACAGTTTTTTGCATTGTGCCGTACCCAATACCTTATTCTTGTGCAGGCATCAGTTGATAACTACTACTTATTTTTTTTTTTTAAATTTAAGGGCTTAAGGATGGAAGCTACGAGCAGTTCAGGTACGTTTTAAAACAAGTTTAATTTTTATCAGGACTCACCTTCACACTAAGCTATGAGGAATCTGAGCTTGGGAAAGCAGAGGAGGGACTCACCTGTCTGTACCAGGGATACCTTTGATGCAAACTTTTCCTCCAGCCCCATTAATTTGAATTCCTATTTATTCATTAGCAGAGCATGTTCTAGTTCTTGTAATTCAGATTCAAGCTAAAATCTTTTCCCATCTTTCAGACCATAGTGCTGGTGGTTTTCTTGGTGATGGTTAACCTTTTTTTCTCCTTTTGCTGCTTGATAATTAGGCAGTTTCAGCGTCGAAGGTGGCCAGAAATGAAGAGACCTTCATCTTCCAAGTCGCTGTGAGTTGGGAGTTAGTTCATGAAAAGCATTAGCTTTGACTTAACATTTATTTTTCTCTCTCCTTTTAGCATGCAGCATCTATTCTCAGTTACTCTTTTAAAGTAGGGGAGCCTCACACTTAAAGATGGTACTGTAGTTCTGTTAATTGAGCACAATGCTGACAAACTAAGGGTTATTCTAAAATTGCTGCAGTGAAGGAAGTTAAACATTCAAACTGGCTACATTATTTTCTACTATGCGCCCTTGAAATGAAGGTACACAACTTTCACCAAAAATCTTCAGAATTCTGCCTCCTTTCAATTAATCTAGGGAACTAACTCAATATTTGCATTAAGAGAAAGGTGCTCTATGACCAACCCAAACCATTTAAAAGATATATACGTTAAAGCAAGCACCTTACATTACATTTAGAAAGAAATTAGAAGTCACTGCAGAGTACAACCGTAACACACTCCCAACAAGAAATGCCACTGAACAAGAGGGCAGCCCTATTCTGTACCAGCATGTTTCTAAATAGTTTCAGCTTGCGGCCCCATAAAGTACATACAGTTTTTCAGTCTTGAGGTGACACAGATGTGGTTCACTGCTATAAACTCTGAATTACAGATAAAAGACTGCAACTTTTTTGCCAAATACAGATACCTAAAATCCCTTCTCCGTGGCTGCTTCTGGATGCCCAGAAGGCAGCTGTGACTAGCAGAATTGCAAACATAAGCAAGTGAAGGCAGGCTAATTCCCTCAGTTGAAGGATCTGATTCCCCCCGCCGCCCCCCCCCCCCGATACTAGCATAATCTCAGTCTTGTTTAAATTAAGTCTCAGCAGCTCCCTCTCTTCAAGCCATAAACTCAGAATGGCCCTGGGCAGGCCTGTCAACCACACAAACGGGATCTGACAAAGCAGAGACATAGTGAGATTGTACAGGCTGCTGTGTCTGTCAGGGGCAAAAAATCCCACTATTTCCCCAGTGGCCTCGTGTACTATGAGCAGGAGGGGACAAGACTGAATTACCCAAACTATTCATGAAAAATAACTTGACTGCAAAATATACTTCAATATATTCTGACATTCTGCTAGAATCCTCTGTTTTCTTTTTGTTGAATGCATCTTTCTCTATGAATGCAGTACTGTCATACCTGACCTTGCAGGGATGTGAAGATGATAAATCCATTAAAGTGTGAGGCACTCAGATAGTATGGCAGTGGGGGGCCATGTAAGGACATTAGATCAGGTTAATTCATAACTCTACCCTTAATTTTATGATTCTTTATTTCTGATGTAATTAACTTGCAATAAAAAAATGGTGACAATCAGCTTTAGAACTACATAGAGTAACAACTGTTGAAATAAGGGCTAACTAAGAGTACTGTATTGAAGAATGTTTCAAACTTAAGCCATTTATGGCAAATGATCAATATGACACTTTATTTTAGCTAACAATTTTTGGGGCCTCATTTTAAGAGGCTATTGCTTAGCTATACCATGTTCTTTACAAAAATGATTTTAGGGGGTCCACAGATAAGTAGATGACAGTACTGAGAAACAAACTTACATTTGCAAATACTTCACATCCCAGCATATGAGAAGACACATACACTAAAATATGTTTATTTTATTTAAAGAGGACAACTGTGGGAAGGATGGGAAGGCTAACCTCCTGCAACTGCTGGACCTCAATGAGGATACAAACGGGCCAGAACTTGAATCCTTGTACAGACTTAATGAAAATGTATATGATTTCAGAAAGAATTAAAATGTTAGCCTGGAGGACTGGATGAACTTTGAGGTTGAAGTAGATAGAATGTTTGCACTGTTGAGTCAATTAAATAGATAGTGAATTTGGGGGAACTACTGTCAGGAATATAGGTTCCTTTTTGAAGGCCACTGTTGCATCTGCTTTTGCTTTGGATTATACTTCACGAAGTCACCGCAGTTCAAGGAATTGATGGAAGAGAAAATGAGGCTAACCCCATGCATGGATTGACACCTCAAAGCACAGAGCACCCACAAAATTATTTCAGTGGGAACAAATTAAAAACCTCTTAGCTACCCCATCGAATGTCATTAGAACAGCTGCAAAGCAAAGTTTAAACAATGTGGAAATTTTTACTTTTGACTGGGGCAAATTAAATGAGGACAGTATTATTTAGTGATTCAGGAATTCAAGCCAGCAGCACTGAAGAAGCAGCAGCTAAAAATGCTTAACAGCACGATACTTCAAGTTTCCTCTAAGGATATCATTTTAGTTCACTGTCTCCATAGCCACCCTATTGCCAGCTGTAGGAAAAAGAAAATCTTGAGTAACAAAAAAGCAGATTGCTGGAGTGGTTCTGTAAATATTCAATGTCTTGTTCAAAAGAAATTCTGTCAATAAAAAAGTGGAATGCCCAACTATCATTTCTCAAAATGGTACCTTGTTACTTAAGCATTACATAATACATTTCAGAATTGATCCATTTTTAAAAGCACTGCAAAATTTCAGTTAATGTATGTCTTGAATTTTACTGAAATCAGATTTGTATGAAGTCTTTTTATGTGGTAAAATTATATTGTATGTTCAAAATGAAAACAACTTGTTTGAGAGAGCACATGTTTGGTTAGTGGCATAATTTTTACATTTGTAAAAAGCAACAATCTTGGCCAATAAAAAAAGTCATAGCTCAGTGTACAGGAAACTAGAACTTTTGATTTAATGTCTATAATCTGCAGTATTAGGAAGGGGAATCCCCAATCATTTACTAAGTAATTTAAGTATCTCTGAATATTTTCATAAAGAAAAGGTTATTAAATACACTCCAAACAGGCTCTGCAAATGCATTAAAGGTTAATCATATACAAAACTTGAAATGGGGTGCTCACCATAATAGATGCTGTGTGTTGAGTATCCTGGGGAGACTATCAGAAGGAAAAATATGAATTTGTTTAGTAATTCTTTTCTTCATTCTGACTACCCGAAAGAGACAGATTTTCAAAACAAATTTGCACCTCTGGTCCTCTAAACATGTTTTAAATAAGCAAAGTACGGGGGCACTTAAAAAAAAAATCTAATAGGAAGCTTGAACAGAGATTACTTGCTGGGGACACATAATATTTGTGTGTGGTGTTAGAGGTCTATTATATGATAACCTAATAAAGTATTGGTGAATGTTGAAACAGAAGTTGAGCAAATAAACTCTCTCAAGGGTGACTATAGGCTTTTGCTGTATGTTTTCAGTGAAGCTAGGAAAAGTAAATTTGGTTTAAGCCTGTATTTGTCGCATCCCAGCTTTAATATATTGTCCAAAACTGTCTTATCAGAGTTTTGTACTTCAAAAGTAGAGTATGTGTGCTGGGCTAGGAAATGCAATCAAATATTCGCTTATACTGATTTTAAAACATTAGTGGATTCACCAGAAAGAAGAGACATTTACAAGGATAATGGAAGTCTGATACAAGTGGCAAATGGTCTCTCTACAGAATTTGTGTCTTCACTGTTTTCCAAACCTTTCCCAAAGAAGAAAGCGTATGTATCTGTATACAATTCCGATCTGGGAGAAAAAAGGAAACTTACGTTTCTCTGTCGTCTGGCAGCAACTTTGGAGATGGGAGAAGGTGGAATCCTGGAAGGCCAACTAATGTTAATAATGCTGCTCTATATCAATCAGAAATACTCTAAAAATTACATCTCTACCTCCATCTAAAAATACTCAGCTTTCTCTGTAGTTTAGTACAGTATAAAAGTCTGAATATACATTTCAGGAAAAAATGGTAAAGTATATTTTCAAACTGTTATACAAAACTTGGCTTCAGCCTGTGGCTCTCCCTATGATGGAAGATATATATTATAGCAAGAAAACTTATGTCCCAAACCTGTGGTTGTTCCCGAGTTCTTTTTATTTCCCCACCCTTCCTTCTAGTTGAGATTGTGTATCAGAACACTATTTTTAAAGCCAGAAAGATCATTTTATAGGCACCTTTGCAGTTGATACATGTTCAGCCCCTGAAACACACCTAAACCCAGGAAACCAAGAGTTCTTAAATCATTCCCCAAATCTAGCCTCTCTCACATAATAGTGTTACATTATCTCTCAAAGAGTGGTGGGGAAATGCTACACTGCTGGCCTTGTTAGAATATAATTGGCACCCTTCAGAGCTTAAACAGCTGACATACTAAATCACCAAGTTCTGGTTTTAAATAGAAACCTTTATTTACATTATTATTAACATCAAAACACAAAAATCAGAAGAGCAGTAATACTTTATAACCAACCCTTTTATAAATCAGCCCACATGTTTTTTTGTTTTTGCAATGTAAAGATACACACATTTCAAGCAGTACTTTAATGTAAACTAAATTTAAATGCAATTCTCAATACTGTATGCCTTCTCCTGAGAATTGTTTTTAAATATTGCTCTCAGAATTATATGGTTTCATACTTGCTGTATCATTCTATCATCCGTCTGCACTTAAAATCTAAAATAAAATGTGTGCTAATTGGTGCAACATTCAAATAGTTTTGTTTATAGCTTTAAAAAATGCTCTTGAATTCCTCACATTAAAAGCACAAATTTAGGATGAGATTGAATAAAAAATTGCTAATGGATTTTATAACACATGGTTTCTATAATCAACAGGAAACCTGGCAGGCATGTAGTGAGACTATGTCTGCTATGCAGTAGTGATTCAACTGGTTACACTAGTAAACTGTAATCGTACTGTCAAAAAGTTACACAGCTTCTTGAATCATTCAGAAAACTTTGCTGCTGTAGAACCAAAACACAATTATTGGAGATATCAAATACCACCAAAATCAAAGGACTGTTTAGTTTAGTAAATACACTTTTCAACCTAGGTGAAATATTTAGATTGTTGCCTTGAAAGGTTTCAATAACACTAATTTTAAAAGGTTTAAAAAGGCTTATCTTTTTATCATATTTGAAGTAAAACAAATCTTTGGATTCAGCAAAAAGTAATTACTGGAAAAAAACAACATTCTAAAAGCAGATGAGGGAAGAAGGATCTTTTGTAACATCCATCAGGTACCACATTTTAGAAGTATAAATAGAATCAGTCTCAAAAAAAAAAAAAAAAGTTAAGGGCAAAAAGCATAAAGTAGTACATATCCTGAAGATTTCACTAGTCAAAGCAATCAAGGGTTGCAGCTTCCATCAATATAATGAACAACTACAAGATATAAAATCATTCTATTCTGATTTAATATAAAAAGCAAGGGATTGTTGCCTTTCAACTCCATTACGTTGCACTGACTCAACCAGCAGGTGGATTCTAAAAAGCAAGAAAGGGGAAAACAGTTCCTTATGCTTTTAAATGTCATGCATTACAACACAGATGAACCAGACTGAGGAGTGGAAACAACTAAATTACTACAGCCAAATCTATGTTCTCAATGCTGATTGTACAGACTAGCCTGCATAAAAAGCAGATTTTTATTGCGCCTGCCTGCCTTGTGGAGTAGGACTGTGGCTGTAGATATAGGATGAAAGTTGTGTGAATTTTTGCACAGAAAATTATTTTCATTAAAATGGAAGAACATGGAAGTTCCTTCAAGTTACTGCAAAACAAAATATGACTTCCTAGTTACAGTACCAAAAAGAAATGATCAGAATCACTGATTTTCACTCACTCAGGAGAAGTCTGTTTTCCATTACACAATGAACAATAGAACAAAAGCACCACATTCCTTAAAACATTTCTGGTTCACACCCTTATGGAAGTTTCCAGGTTTCAATCGCCATCTGTCTGAAAGTGGATAATCTGTAATAGCATCTTCGTTTTATGGACAAAAAAAACAACTTGTCAACAGATAAAGATGAATAGACTTGTAACCTAACATGAATACTGATAGTAGACACACTTGTTTGGAAAATACATTCATTACAATAGAACAATCCAAAGAGGTGCAGACATTTGGTTAAACTGTGGCTTAATATCCATAAAGATTTCTGGATGTCATGTGACAACAAATGAGTTGCTTGCTGTAAGATGTGATGGTGGAGAAGTAATTAACAGGAAATACTTAGCAATAGGCATCTTTTCTAGAAAAACATTTAGGGTTCATTAAAGATAACCAAAAGTCCCGACAATACGGACTCATTAACTAAAAAGGCTATATAAAACCACATGAACTGTTATGACAAGTCATGACAGCTTACAATCCAGGGAGCCTTTTTTGTCAAATTGCCCTATATAAAAAATGAAATGTAACAAAGTGCTCACTTAATGTGGAGAAAGCATTAACCAATTGCTTAACCCTAAACAAATTATATTTTAAAAAAGCTATTATGTTAAAGATATAAAATAAGTGGCAAAGACCAAAGAAGAAAAAGATATGGGCCAAGGTCATTAAATTAAAAAAAAAAAAAAATTGAAAGGTCTTCTATCTGGACCTCAACTAAGATGAGTTTACAGAAATCAACTTTGTTAAATATTTAGCTTCACAAACTCTGCAAAAATGAGTTAGTGACCTACAAAAGTCATATATATAATACAATTCTTAAAGATCATATTTACAAAATTTATTCACAAAAAAAAAAACCCTGCAAAATTCTGATTCAGACTGCAGTGCCTTGCCTTGATTTTTCTGAAGGTTTTTCCCCCCCCAAAAAACATGAAGGATTATTGCTCTAATTTCCAATAACATAAAACATTACAGTACACAGTCTTTTCAATCAACAATTCTTAAAAGATTGGATTTGAAAAAGAACATGAGTGCACCCTACCTTTCGGTTTATTTAATCCTTATCAAAGATATTGCATTAATCCGTTATATAGCCTTTTATAAAGTGCACTCAGCTGCACATCAAAATTTAAATATTAGTCACGATTATGTTTAAATAATTTTAATTTATTTTCTCTGTAACCCCCCTTGGCATCAATGGGCAGGATTTTGGAACATTACATGTCAATTCATTCTGCATTGCCACTATGCTTGGAAATCCTGACTCCTGGGGATAAGAGGTTAAAAGCAGCATTTGTATTCAGGAATTCATATAAAAGAGTCAAGGCTAGGAACTACATTCTCTGTCAGATATTCTTACTAGAGAAATCAGAATTCTTATCTACCATGACTTCTCCGGGCACTTTTGCCTGCCTGTAGTTAAAGGGCTTTGGATAGCTACAGTAAATAGAAGTGGTATACATAGAGTCTACCCATCATATTTACTAAAATGCCATTCCCAAATTCACATTTCTAGAGGCAGAGTGCCAAAAATATTTATGACCATTGTTTTGTACACCACAATATACAGTAATACAGAGAGACTGCTTCTACTAAAAAAAAGTCTTTTTTGTATGAAGTCACTTGGGACATCTTGGTGATCAGCTGGAAAAATCAGTTATTTCCATAAGGCCAGTACTAGTTGCCACGAAGAATATGTAGCTTTTCTTTGTAATACTAGTGCATCATCATTAATATAGATCATTCTACTTTGGGAGATCACGGTTTTAGGTGTCAGCAGTATTTCTGTTAAAGGAAAACAAAAAAAGAACAACTATCAGAAAAACACCAGGATGGAATCACAAGGGGCACTAAGGAACTTATGTCCCACCAGACAGTCACTGCTGGCATTCACAAAACTCCTACTTAGCTGCCACATAACTCTGTAGGGCCCAATTCAGTGGCATGCTCAAAGCAAGTCTAAACCCACACAAAATGAGAGAAGGAGAAGATGATGGTGCCCCCTCTCATAACTTTTATTCCATTAGTTAGAGCACTCACCCAAGATGTGGGAGACCCAGATTCAATTCCTCCCTCTGCCTGATGTGAAGCAGGGATTTGAACTTGGTTCTCCCACTTCTCAGGAAAATGCCCTAACCACTGGGATGTGGAGTATTCTAGGGCCAGGTCTCTCTCAATGGTCTCCTGGTGGAGCAGCTCCGTTGTGGATAAATATTCATTGGAGCAAAAGTACTGGAACCTGGGTCTCCCACCACCCAGGTGAATGCCCTAACCACTGAGCTATCGAGGTATCGACATTTTCACTCACTGTCTGGCCCAGTGTGTATTTTGAAGATTAAAATATTAAGACAATCCATTTTTAGGGAGAAGAATCGCCTTTATTGGACTCTGTCTACAAGATAAGAACTAGTACTTCTATTACTCCCACTCTCCAATGTGAAATTTGTCAGTTTAGTCTAGTTGAAACCTTTGTTCTTAGATTGAAGATGGTCTTGCAGACAACTTGCAAAATCTCAGCAGATACAGTTGCCCCTTTCAAGTATTCTGGTCTCTGGAATTTCCCCAAGCTCAGTAGTACTTAAGTGACCATTGTGTCTCTTGAGCCACAATCATGAGATACCTGAAGAAAAACAGCTAACCTAGAAGCAAACTGCCAGGCTTCAGAATGGATATCAGCAAAGCTAGACAGAACCTACTAGAGCAAAATGAAAGCTTTATCCTCAAATGACTTAGGGGACAGCGAGAACTGAAAACCAGTGTGTGAGAGGAAGTCGGCCAGCTTGAGAACCGATTGTACTCAATGGGAAAAGAGGAGCTACAGACCTTTAAAAGGATCTTATAACTTCCTGTACGTTTAGGGCTGACCAAGCCTCTGAATCTCTACAGAACTGTTTATCAGTGGAGTGAATTGTTACAATTATCTTACCTGGTCTGGACCCATAGGCATCCCTGACATAGGCATGGTGTTAATGTTCATTTGTCCAATATGACCACTGCTGCCATTCATATGCATCAGATTATAAGTTGTAGGGCTCCCTTGATGGCTGAACTGCTGCTGTGGAAAAGAACTGGAGCACACAAGAACAAATAAAGTTACCTTCCATAAAGTTTGATTGGTATTTTAATGCACTGCCATCCTTATACAGGCCACAAGTGATTGACATGGCAGAAAGATAAGAAATAGTATTAAATCTTTATATAATCACCAGAACCAGAAGGTACCACATTTGTTACTTTTACACATTGGATAGACAATATAGAAATACCAGTACTCTGATCAGTTTTAATTTTTATCTGAAATTTACAAAACAATTTACTTTTCAGGAATCTGGTAAGTGTTCTTACTAATTAATGGAAACAAGCTTTCTCTTGTAGCTCTTTTAGGGATTTCAGTGATCACATTAGTCCACCATCATAATATTGTTGTGCACAATTAAATTTCTTCCAAGGTATTTTGTCAATATTCCTAGACTAAATCTGATTTCTAATTATAAAGATATAAACTCTAATGGATGTTAGGTGAAAAATCTATTCAGTCATCTATTCATACCTAGCCAGGGCAGGATCAAGGGCATAACAGACACTAATTACTACAAGGACATGATCTCTCTTATTTGTTGGTTAGAAACTGAAATGTTCAGTTTATCTTCACCCAAATCCTTTTCTGCTGCAAAATGTAAGACATAGATTTAACATTCAGGTGCAATGAAGACAGTTTCTCGGTCGTGAGTAAGAAAATGCTGTAGCAAACGCATTAAGTTCAGCAGAAGTAAGAACATGTAGCTATTTTTAGCTCATGTTCCCAGAATTCAAAGCTGGTTGAAGCGGAATATGAAAGACCATTGACAGCCATGCAGTGGATTTATATTCCCAGTAGATGTCCCTCTAGATGGTTTACATTGAAAGAATCATTGCCAAAATTCCAAACATAAGACAATTTCATGTTAACTGTGTACTGGTGAAACGTGTACTTTATCTTTCCTTTCTGTCCACTGCTAATTAATAAGAAGTGTGTATCTGTATTTAAGTCATGGAAAACAACAAACAAGAAAGCTTTGAAACTCTGGTAAAAAGCCCACCAAATACACTAAGGCCTTGTCTACACTACAGGGGAAAATTGATCTAAGCTACGCAATCTGAGTTACATGAATAGTGCAACTCAAATCAGCGTAGCTTAGATCTACTTACTGCGGGATCCACACTATGCGATGTCAATGGGAAATGCTCTCCTGTCAACTCCATCCAGTGGAGTACAGGAGTCAACAGGAGAGCAAGCTGTGGGTGATTTAGCGGGTCTTCACTAGATCTGTTAAATCAACCGGCGATGCATCCATCACCGGTCTTGGAAGTGTAGACAAGCCCAAAGAATTATAAGGACTTTGCAGATGAGACAGAGGATAAAAAGTTAAGTTTACTGGCCTAGATACTGTTCCTTAAAGACTCCCATGAAACCCTTAATCTTAGCATTGAAGGGACAAGGGATTCATGGAAACCTTAAGTCAGAATCTCCTTGCCTGTGCATCTTTGGGTTAGAACCTTAATGTTATTTTTACTATGTGTGGGCGTGCGTGCTACATACATACACACGTACATTTTTAATGGAAGGTAAAACATAATGTCTATTGTGTGGAGTAACATGAATACAGGTTTTGATTACTTAGCTTTTTGTACAGCATACACTTAGAGATTCTGGGTGTTTATTTAAGAAACACGGCCATGATTTTGTAAAGCAACTAGCAATTTTTGGTGTCCAACTTCAGACGGTTTAAAAGAGACCTGGGGTGACATCCTGGTTGCACTGAAATCAATGGCAAAACTCCCATTGATTTTAATGTAGCCAAGATTTCATCCATGATTTTCAGAAAGTGCTAAGCACCCACCCTCTGAAAATCAGGTCCCTTTGAAATGTCTTAATTTTGGCACTTGAAAATTGGAACACCCAAAATCACTGGTCACACTTGAAAAACACTGACTTAAGTCTTTACTGCTCACCTGCTCCTGGCCATGTTTCCTGATGACCAGCCTTTCATCTCAGGGGACTGGTACATTGCTGCTGTTTGAGAGTGCTGCATCATGGGATTTTGAGAGGCTCTAATTCTTGATGACATCATTGGGTTGGGAGGGCTTGCTACTCTACTGAATGTGGGATCAGGTTGTTGGCTTATTCCTTACAAGACAAAGAACAAACAAAACAGATGCTAATTGTCATCTTTAAGCATTTTTAGTCTATATCCTTGCAATGGAGGATGAAAAATGTCTCATCACATTAACAAGCGTGATGAGTCCTGAACCCCCAGAGATTTACAATTGTTCTTAAACACTAGTCTGCATTTCCCTTACATGGAAATTGGATTTGTATGTGCGCACATGCACATTTAAAATTTCCTTCGCTTCTGCAGCTTATTGCCCATCTGAACTCCGTATTCTTTCCACAGCAACTAGTTGTGATATCAAATTATAACTTAATGTGACAAATAAGTAGCACAAGCAGACAAACATTTTAGCAATAAAATCCTGTTTTTGCAAATAATCTCAGTAATATTGCAAAAGGGAGGGGCAAAGACAAATATAGGCTATAATCAGCAAAATGATTTATAACAAGATATTTTCAGTTTTCAGCAGTGTTTCAAAAGTTTTTCCTCCAATACTTGTAATAGGAGCTATTTACATTTTCCTCGTAACTCATGTGTGAAAAGAAACAGAAGATATTTTCCTCCTCGGTATTATTTATACAGCAACATAGGTGTGCATGAGAAATTATAACACAAAGAAGCTAACAAATAAGAAGTTAATATACTATGTAACATCCATCTTGGTAATTAAATCATTTAATTGTATCAGGAATGTCTCATATTCTAATAAAATGTCTGCATTTAAGAGAATGCTGCAGAAAGATAGTCAGATATAAATTGCTGTAGTGTTCTGTAGCAAACAGGTGAGAGAATTTACTTGGGATTATGTATCTGGATTCACAATAATGACTTTTCTCTCTCAAAACTGGATTTTGAGGGCAGCCAGATAGTAGGTACATATAGATGTGCATGAATTCAAATAAATATTCATTGCTTTCTATAAATGAACTACTGAACAGTTCTATGGAAATCATGACAGTATGGAATGATCCAGGCAAGAAAGTTATCAAAACAGAAAAGGGGGTGGGGGAAGAGAAGAGTAATAGAATCTGTTACATCAGGAAACAATATATCAAACTAATTACATAGTAAACAAACAGTAAGCTCATTGGCAGCACATTTAACTGTGTTTTAATTTTTTGACTATTTAAATGATAACCAAAGGAGCTCCATATTTATATGGTAATAACCATTTCCTGGGCTGAATAAATGCTGAAACCTAAAACAAAAGTTCTAAGCAATTTTTTAGTCCAGGATGAAAACAAGCTACACAGGTTAGCAGCTTTCCCTACACTTTCCTCTCACCCCTGCACTCTTGTCTGTATACTGGAGATCACTGTGCTTAGACTATTACCAACAAAGGTTTAGCCATCCTAATCCTCTCCATTTCCTTCTAACTTTCACTTGCTTTAATATATCTGCAGGAAGGGGAAGCCATTTTTATTATGGGCAGCATATGGCAAATTCTGGAAGCAGCAGCCAGAGAGCTTTGCATAACAATTGTATAGATATTGGAAAATAACCAAACAATGATCATGTAAATTCTTGGGCTCTCATTGTTTATACTGTATCTTCACAAACAGAAATGACTTACATGTATATTTGATGAAATCACGGCTGGGATGGGAAATAAATGGATAGCCTCCCTCACTCTGACAGAGGGAGTTCCATTTAAGAATGTTTGGTTACACAGTGTGTTCAGGATCTCTGAAAACCACACCCACCCACCCACACACTTTTTTATAAGAATTTTTTCTCCCAAGCCTCAGGGTGATCTGGAATATTTAGGTAGATGAGATAAATGGAAGAAAGGGAAGATGGAGTGAGGGAGAGACAGAGTTGAGATGTGAGCATCAGTACCATAATTAGGCGGATATGGGAATTGCTGCGAAGGAACTTGAGCCATTGGGGGACCTGCCAGAGAACTGTCCATGCTTCCTGAGGCAGTCACATTTGGTGGTGGACTGAAGGTCTGAGGTTGTTGCTGTTGCTGCTGTATCATCATTGCCATCCTCTGCTGTCTGATATGATGACTTATTAGCTCCCTGTTGCGCTGAGCCACCATCTGAGCATTAAGAAAACCTTGCTGCTACCCCACAAACAAACAAACAAAAAAAATGTATTGGATGATATTTAACAAGTAAAATTAAAGGCATGCCAGAGAATCAATCCATGTACATATTTTGTACCCATAAGACCCAGCACATCCAGGGCTAGCAATGGAATTCACATTAACGAAAGCCAGTTGGCAGTGTTAAAATGATCAAAATATCAAGTTTAAGTTTGCATTAAACTATCTTATTCATGCTAAAAAGCTAATGCAGGATGTTATCTTCTTAGCACTCATTTCATATAGGTAAAATACTACTTATATGCTACAGATGCAGAGTGACATAACAGACCACAGGTACCAGTGCCCACAAATCTGCAATTTCAGAACTGTGCGGGATATACCCAACTTGATAATGAGGATCATTCTTCAGCCACCAAAGAAAATAAATATACCCCGTGGAATCATGAGAGAAGGCCTGAATTCTATAAGGACTTGTGTGTGGCATGTTTGTTCCCTGCTATTTTACAACATGCTATTTTGGAAGGGTGAGTGTGATGATTACTCACCTGTGACCCCACTTGCGGCTGCATGACTGGCCTCATGACTGGGGCACCACCAGTACCTGGGTTTTCCATTTTCATCTCAAGTGCTTGACGGGTCTGATTCAAAAACTTAGGGAAAGACAATTAACAGTGTCTAAGTGGGCTGTATTAATCTGCTTCAAATAGGAATCTTCAAAAACACCAGGCTACAACAATCAAACCAAGTAACAGCAGCTAAACTCTTTATTTAGGAAAAATAAGAAAAAGAAACCACCTTTCTGCAAATGTAATTTTTTTTTTTGCATCTAGAATCCAGAGATTAGTGTTTTTACCTTATTAGATACAGAATGCTGAAGCATTCATCTTTAAATTTGAACATGAACAGTTGTAATTCACACATTCAAATTAAGTGGCCTGGCATTAAAAGGCTTTACTTTCTTATAAAATATTTTGTAACCAAACTCATTTGAAGCACAGTATAGTAGACCAACACTTCTACTCCGAGTTCCAAAATATCCAAAATATATATAACTACAGGTTTCATCTCTGTTTCAAGGGTGGATACCGTTAAAGCGACTATTATAAAAAAGACATGACAGTTGCTCCAAAAAGCCGTAGCCTGATTCAATGCCCTGGTCCAGCCAAGAAGAAAAGTATGGGATGGGAAGTGCTGAATACTACACTCTTTTATAGTATAAGCCACTACATTAATTCTCCCAGCCTCTATTATCTGACACTCCCTGTTATCCAGAATTTGTTCACAACCCTTTACACTTATTACAATAAAAATTTCCTCTGCTATCAGTTGCTTTTGTTATTCAAAACATATTCAGTGTTCCCCAATGACTTATGGATAATTAAGGTTGCACTTTACTGTAGCACACAAATTAAATTGAAATATTCTGTTAAGAAATGTAAATCAAAATGCTGAGACAACAAATAACCCTTTTTTAAATTTTTACGGCACAGTGTTAAAATCTATCTTGTTTCTTATACTGTGCCTATCACCATAACATCAGGGTATCTAAAATGGATCAGATTCATAAGGGAGAACAAACAATACTTTTTAAAAAGTACCACCACCATTCACTTATATTTTATTTAATACAATTAATCAAATCAAGTGATATCTGAATGCCTCTATTCAGAGAGGGAGTGATTGGTAGATAATAGCACATTTTGATATTCGTGAAGTCATTGTTTTGACACAATAAAAATTACTTAATTTGCAAAATAAGTTGAAAAGCTATTTATTCATTAAAAAGCCAGATATATTTACTGTGGAACTCACTGGCAGAAGACATCACTGGGGCCAAGCGCTTAACAAGACTCAGAATAAAGACTGGACATTTGCATGGATAATGAGATCATCCAGAATTATATTAAACAGGATTATTTTTAAAAGAACAAAAAATTGGAAGCAATATAAACCTTTGTACTGTAGGGCAAAACCAACCTCTAACTGGGAGGTTCTAGGAAGAGATATCTCCTATGGGCAACTTATTGAATAGTTGACCAAACTGAGGTTCTTGCACCTTCTTCCAGAGAAGTGGTTTCCAAACTTTAACAACTTGTGAACCCCTTTCACTAAAATGTCAATTCTCACAAACCCCGTCCTAAAAATGAATATTTCCAGGGATTTTCTCCTTTACCCAAGTATAAATTATAAAAGCAGTGATCTTGGAAATATAAAATTTGTTTTTATGACATGCTTATTACACACTATTTATTATTATTTATCATTACAGTATTTTATTACATTATGAAAACAGCAACACTCTTCCAAGATCTGATTTTGTAGCTTGTATCACTTTGAATAAGCCTGTTATAAGACAAGGCTCCTATGTTTCATCAAGGAGTATCAGATGTGAAAGAGCATGAAGGTATTTAAGAAGCCAACTCAGAGTTCCTCCTACATAAGCATTCACGTCTTGAGCAGTCCAGGAAAACAACGCACGTTACAACAAAGCTTAAACTTGTTGTTCATCATAATTTTAAAAATAATACTAGCTGCCTATTTAATTTTTAAAAGAGCAAAAAATATCCACCTCCCTTTCCATTTCTTATAAGGAGTCTTGAAGTTTAAGTCTCCTCCGTGTAATAGTTATGCTTGCTTTGATCTGCTTAACTCTTGGAAGTCCAGGGGCTCCAGGCTGCCAGGGATCCCTAAGGACAGCTCTGTCCGCCACTGGAGAATTTTTTCCCCAAGAACCCCCTGTAACATTTCATGAACCCCAGTTTGGGAACCACTGTTCTAGAATCTAAAGCATCTGGTACTGGCCACTATCAGACAGGATGGTTGACTAGACACCCCTCATGTGAACTGGTATGGCAATTTCTATGTTCCCTTTATTCTTTTGAAGTAATATAATTCACTTTACCTCTCTCTCCACTGCAACAAAGTTTTCTATCTTTTGGAGTAAGACAAAAGTGTAAACAAAAAAGCAAAGATTACCTGCTGCCCCTGAAGCCTCTGCTGAAGTTGCATTCTGAGCTGCTTTGGTGTATTGGTTCGGGGTCTCATTAGACTTGCTCTAGGATGCATACTTTGCAGTGGAAAATTACTCTGTTGGCTCATCTGATTCATCATTGAATTAAAGGATTGCTGTTGTCCCTGCATGTTAGTAAAACCTCCTGGCATTGCTGCCCCTTGCCCCTGATAGGGCTGACTATATAATGGAGGCTTCTGGTCAATCATAACTGCAGATTCCTGACCTTGAAATGAATCTTGCTTCGGTTCCAAAGTTTGCCCCTTTAACAGACAAAGAATATATTGCAAATAAGAACAGCATCGTTTTAAATATTTATTAACAGAGAGTCCTGTGGCACCTTTAAGACTAACAGATGTATTGGAGCATAAGCTTTCGTGGGTGAATGCCCACCAGCAACCCCCATATTCGCTCTCCCACAAACCCAGTGCCTCCCACTCGCCAGCAGGCCCTGCAGATAGGCGCCTCACTCTGCCTCCCCACACCTCCCGCCCACCACAATCAGCTGTTTTGCAGTGTGGAGGAGGCTAGGGGGAGGAGCGAGGATGCAGTGCACTCAGGGGAGGGGGCGGAACTGAGCGGGAAGAGGCGGGGCAGGGGTGGAGTGGGGGCAAGGCCTGGGGTTTGAACACCTCCCCCACCCCACCAGCACTTTGCCTGTGCCTTTGTAGTTTTACTTCAAAGAATGACTTTGTAAAACAGACAGTACAGGGTTCTGTTTCTGAATGATTTCCAGATCAAGTGTGCTCATTCTACAAGATTTTTAAAAATATTTTATTTTATATTTTTAACAGCCAGCCATGCAAACTCAGTCTGGGATCTGAAAGCCATACTGAGTTCTTTTGTACGTGCACATCATTGCCAGTAATGTATTCTGCAATCTGAGCTCTGTAGAGGATGCATGAATCACAAGAATCCAGTTCACTCTCCCATAGCTGTGCTACTTCTGCAGTGCTAACAGGAATAAATAGTAATATCAAATTGTTTATGTTAATAAAATATTATAAGAAGTCAGGAATTGGAATATATCCATGTCTGTTATGCTAAAATGACACCACCTTACCTGTGGTATTTTTTGAAAAACATAATACAAGTTCTTTTGGTATAAAGTTTAATGAATACTGGTTAGTATTTTTCATCAAAGAGGGACGCCTGAAGCAGATTTTAAAAGGTTGAGATGTTATGCTTTTTTCATTCACTTTCCAAGTGCCAAGATCATTCAGGAAGCAGGAAAATAAATGGTTAAAACCCTCTGGGTTACTTACTTGATTTACAAGATCAGGAATTCCTAATGCTCTGTCAATTTCCTCCAGTCCTGTGACATCTGTGTTACTCAGCAAGGTGTGCAGCTGATCTAAAAGGGCCCTTTCATCACTCTGGCCTTCCATGTTAGGAGGTGGACATAAGAAATCATCCAAAGAACTTCTAACTAATTGTCTATAAAGCAACAAGTTAAAAACCATTAATTATAAAAACATGTAGCATATATCACCTGAAGATAGCAAACAACTTTACAGAAATGGGTAAGTATTACCCATATTACAGAAGGGTAAACTAAGGTATAAAGGTTAACAGACATGGACAATGTCACAGCAGCAGAGTTGGAAACAGAAACTAAGGCTTGTCTACACAAATACATAGTTCATGGCAAGCTGAGGTAGCAGGCTAGCGCAGGGTAGATTTACACCCTAGCTTGCCATGAACTGCTAATGTAGACAAGCCTGAAGTCTTTACTCCCAAATCCACTACTGCATGCACTAAAATGGAGAAGACCTATCAAATCCAACTATCACCAGTTTATGAATCCATGCTAGCAAGAGAGATGAGAAATTTTCAGAGTTAGAAAAGAACTTTCAAAGTTCACTTCTAGGAACTTCTCATGTAGCACTGCCACATATTTTCATATTATATCATCATGTATGTGTTTATAAAAATGTATTTAAAACAATTAAAACAAAGCTGAAAATTATCCTCAAAGCTGTTAAACCAGGTTATTTTAACATCTGCTGTATGCCGTATTGGTGGTGGTGTTAGTGTTCTGTTAGGGCACAGGCCCATTTTTTGATGAATCTTCTATGTCAGTTGGTGCCCACTGCTCATGGAACAAAGGGTTCTGGAAGCACTAAAGGGGTTCAGAAAGTCATATCTTAGAACAAATACTGTTCCAGTTTTTAAACTCTTCTTATAGCAGTGATCAGTCATATTTAAACTATGCAGCTTTCATCACCTATTCTAAACCCTACCTGTTTTGTGACCCTCGAGGTCCTTGCTCCATGGACAGCATGCTATCAGGCCATGATCCTGGCTGGTTAGATGGTCCTGTTTGCCCATAAGGATTACCTCCCATACCCATATTAATCTCAGTAGGCCCTATGAAGTAAAATTAATTTTATTATTTTTTGAAAACAAAGGTAAAATTTAACATCCTGCTTTACATGTGAAATAAAAGTTTGGGATTCTACAGATTATTGTGTGTTATATTGGTAACTTCAATAGGTTAACGGTCTAATTAGAACTAAATACTTTAAACATCATGTACACACACACACACACACACACGATATGAAGGACTAGAGCTATTGCTCTCTACATGATATGATTTTGATTTCTAGTATCAGTCCCACAACACCTCAAATGGGAACAATATGAATGCAGTAACCTAATATAATTCAAAAGTAATTTTTCAGGGTGGGTTCATTTAAATCAAAGAGATTTTAATCCCCAATTTTATTCATGATTTAAATTAGCAAACAGGAAACCTTATTTTAAATAATCAATTTTAATCTTGTTTTGCATTTAAACTTTTTAGTTATTTTCCTAAAGAAATGTCAACTGTCACTCGTTGGTAACCATTAAAACATGTTGATTTGCAACTAAATCTACCCTTTACACTAAATTTGGTACTACTTTTTGCCAACCAGGAGAATACACTATATTTAAGACACTTATGTAAAGCAATTATCTAGCTTAATTTACATTTATTCAGATTTTTAATGTTTATATTTTATTATCGTAGAAAATGGCAAATTATTCATTTATCTACTAAAATATTAATTTTTATTTGTGATTTGTGTCAAGCTCTAGTTGGATGAAAATTAAAGTTCAATTAAAAATGCAAAAAAACCTGTATTTTAAAATAGTATTTTTATTAGTTAAATAAAACTACCTTAAATATGCTGAAACATGAGAAAAAAAAGTTTATCGAGAAGTATATCAAAATGTTTGGCATTTAAAACCGATTTATTTATCAAAGGAAGTATTATCTGTAGCTAGTGAACAAAACTGATTGTTTCTAGTTACCATGACCTTCAAGATTTTAGAACTAGTAGACCTCATCCTCTCAGACACAGATTCTATTCATAGATTGGAAAAGGATAACAAGCTTTCCTGCTTTTGCAACTCCCATTTGGTTTCTTAACTTTGAGCTAATATTGAACTGAACTAGTTGAATTTAAGAAAATATTTTCTTTGCACCAGTAGAAGAGGCTACTGCTGTCAAAAGCTGGTTTAGCACATCAACAAACTCTGGTTCCACCACACTGACTTCCACCAGTTAAGTGGTTTGACTTTCTTTAAAATTTGGCAAGAAGCAAGTACTGCTTAATATTACTCATATAATTAATTTAAATTATTTTAACAGATTATAAAAGTGTAGGCCTTAACATAGATTGTCATAATTTCAAATTTAATTTTAAATAGTTTAGATTTTATTGCAATAACCTGTATTCAATTTAAATTAAAAACTGATTTAAATTTAAGAAGTTTTTTTATTTAAAAAAAAAAAGATCAGTTTTTATCCACCCCGCTCTTCTTGCCAGTGAAGTCAGGACACTATCAATCATGCACTGTAATAGTGACATGATGTGACATTCTAAAGACAAGTACAAAATAAGTTACTTATCAGCAACTGGTTATTTGAGTGTGTTGCCTCTGCCTTATCCATTCACCTTTCCCTCTTACCAGAAGTTCTACTCCCATTGAAAGAACTGAGCCGGCTGGGGATCACATCACCATTTAACATCTCCAAACAAACAGTGCAGTGTGGGGGCATTTGTGCTGTCCCAACAAGCATTACTTTTCCCAAAACTCAGCAGTATTCTACAGATTTCCACTTATAAGAATTCACTAGCAATATAATTTCCAGCAAGATGAGCTGAGGAGTTCTAATTAAACAAGAACTGCAGAACTGTCTTCCCAAATTGAGCATCACATCCCAATGCCAAGTTGAGACAGTAGGGCTGAGAAACCTCAGGCAATAGATTTCTATGATGGAAATGTTAGAGAAATGCCACTGATCCTGCCTTATAGCCCTGGTAAAGTGAGCCCTCAGACCCTTGGGTACCGTAACCTTCGCTGAAGTATAACAAGTTTGAGGGTCCAGTCCAATTGACTTTGAGAGATGCTATGTGGAAATGGCATTTCCTTTACACTGACCCCAAAATGTTATAAAAAGCATGGAAGATTTCTTTAATGGTTGAGTTCTATCTTAATTAAAACTTACGGCCCACTTAACATTTTGGGCATGAAGTTTCGTTTCTCTCATATGAGCATCATGTTTTAAAAAGAACAGGGCATTGATAGTCTTGTTCACATGGAACTCAGACACTACTTTTGATAAAAAAAATCTGGATGCAAATGCAGGACAATTCTGCCCTGTGGAAAACAATGATGAGAGGTTCAGGTACCAAGTGGTCAAGCATCAATATGGGTCAAGTTTAAAGAAGCATCTTCTGAACACTGTAAATGATTTCTTCTTGGATCAGCTAGTTTTAGGATGACAAAAAGGGCATGAGATCGCCATTTAAATCCGGTCTCTCTAGTATAGGTCTTTAGGTTCTATATGAGACATGACACCCCAGAAAAGAGCCAGAGTAGGTCCAAGAATCTAACTGCATGATAGTGCAGAATTAAAAAAAAAAAACATTTTACAACTACCTTAGACAACCTAAAAAGCTATGTACATACTAGTAAAACCAATATTACCACCAATAACTATTACTAATTAAAATAGTTTTTTTCTTTTAAACTAGATTTCCTAAAACTCCTGATACAGAGTCCCTACACCTGCAGCTAACTATAGAGTGGTTCCTAGAACTCTGAATGTCACAGGCGGGAATATGTAGAAGCCATCTCCAAGAAGAATATAGAGATAGATCATCAATATATGAATACTCTTTTTTTTTCTTTTGGCGTGATAGGAAAAATGACACCTCCAATTGGAAATATAAGCAAACATACGGACAAATAATTAAATATGGAATTCCTTAGTCTGAAATTATTAATTATCATTAAGATTAAGGAACTTTCTACAGTGTGCTGGCACTTTCCATGCACAAGAGGAAAATATGGAGCTTGCCTCAAGGAATTAACTGTCTTTGGATGTAAATCCAGATACTGAAATTAAAAGGATCTTTATTCTGAATGCCTGATCAACAAACAACTATGCATTTTATTAAATAGGTTTATACAAATGTAAAGAACTTACTCATATGAATCATTTGCTGTTGTAGCACTGGTCTTGTACCAGGTATGCTATTAGACCGGATGGGCAAACCAGGCATGGAGCCACCCACTGTAGGTCTGGGAAGGGATGGGTTATAGTCTGGTCCTGGTCTCACCATTGAACCAGAATTTGTAGGTTCCAGTCTGTTAACCTTAGAGCTTGGCAAAACCCAGTCTCCTGCTGGATGCTGATTCATAGCCATATTTCTGTTGGGTCCACCTAGTACAATGAAGAGCATATAAAAGATTATTTCTCCTATAGAACATATGATAACTTTTTTTATTGGAAGCATTTCTATTTTCTCACTAATTACAGTGACAACAGCCAATGAGTAGAGAACAGATTACTGAACTCCTATTCAAGCTGGCCATG